TAATATCGCAGAGGTCAGTAGTTCGAATCCCGTACAGGCCTCATTTTTTTCAGGTCTGATTTTCGCTATTGCTTAAATAGCGCTATCTACTGCGAGGATCGTGCATCATATGTATCTAATACCGCAGTACAAAATATATGAACTTCATATATTTTCATTGTATCTCATTGACCATAATTTGTTGGTTCACTAATTGTCAAGCTCTTTTGAGGTGAAAAAAACTGCAACTGTAATGAAAACCACAAGATCTCTAAACATAGAGGATAGATACCTGAGTTGTTCTACTGCCTGTTTTTAATGAAACTAAAACAGATCTACTGCCTAAAGTAATCACCTTGTCACTGATGTTTCAGGTCAATATCAATTTTGTCCTTGGTCTCCCGGTCTTGAATAGTTTTAAATCAAAAAAATAAAAATAGGGATTTTTATTAGCCCCAACAGCATGTTGTAGTTTTTGTGTGCCTTTGCAGAAATCCTCTATGCACTTATTTCCAGCAAAACAGACAAGGAAAGACAAAAACGTCAGATAAAGAAGCAACTTCTTTATTGCTTTCAGTACAACTTCAAGTAGGTAAGGATGCCAACATCCACACCTGCTTGGGTTGTTCACAATCTCACCACAAAAGTCAAGTCACACTTTCAGTTTTGATATCATAACAGTTTTATGCTACAAGTCTATATATGCACAGTTTCTATCTATAAAGTAATTACCAGTAATCTATGTTGGCTTTTGTCCCTGTCTAAGCATAACTGTACAAATAAAAATTTGAGATTTTTTACAAACCTATGCTAAAAAGCTTTAAGTTTTAGGAGAGTAACAAGAAAACCATCACATAAAAAATAAGAATCTAATGTACACATTTAATCGATGAGACATTTGTCAACTCTTTGATCCTCCATTATATATTATTATCAACACATCTTCAAGACTATTTCACTAAAACAGATGATAATAACAGAATAAAAGGCTCAAGGAATTGAAACATATACACACTATTTACATTAAAATGTACATGCTACTTCTCAAAACAAATGACTTCAGGCTTATGAATACGTTGATCAAAAAATGGCAATATGTACAATATAATACAGTTCATTTATTCATTCTGGTCCATTTTGTTGCGATTGCTGCTTGTGCCGCCACCCTTTTTCCGGTGAACTTAGTGGTGACACAATAATTTTTCCCACATCCTCTACGGCAGTAGACCCATCTGTGTAGATTGTTGCAGGTACCCCCTGGGAGGAATGCACCCTGTTCATTTGAACCCTTCCAGCGTATGGAGTTTTTGGTGTCGAGGCTAGTCTTTCATTTGCAGAAATTGGTGGCAAGGGTTCTGGTACAGCCCTTACCACTACCTGCGGATCTGGTCTGGTTCCAGTTCTTAGGAACTCTACATAATCATCAGGTAAAGGTCTGTCCCTTCCAGCAGAACGCTGTATACCTTTTGAAATTCCTAGCCCTGGTCTTGAAGGAGAAGAAGCTCGCTTTGGACGCAAGGGCATGCCTTTGGTTGATTTCATGGGTGCTACATTCAGTTGGATCTCATTTGGCGAGGCTTGGATTCCAACAGCTCTTGAAGTCTTCATCTTAGTACCTAACAATTGAGGAACAGGAGATGTAGTAGACCTGTGATACCGTCGATGAACATTGGAAGGAGTACCCTGTCTTGGTGGTACAGGTGTTCTGGAGGATGTCCCCCCTGTGGTATCTGTGTGTGATGATCCATTCTCCACAGCTATATTACTTTCTATTTTTGTATCTTGTGACTCCTTAGCAACTTCAGTGATGCTTTTCCCTGTGGAAGGCTGATTTTGATGATGTCTTCCAGACTGTCGTATTTTGCTATTGTGAAGTTGAGAGGTCAGATATGCTACAGTGTCTGACTTCTTTTCAAGTTCCTTTAACACAGTTATCAGATTAGATTCTTTTTCTGATAAATCCTTGACATACTTTTGATCCAGTGTTTTCAGCTGAGCCTCCAGAACAACAATTCTTTTGTTCTTCTTTTCAATAATTCCTTTAAGTTCAATGTTCTCGGTCTTCAATTCAGCCAGTACTTTTTGTGACTCATCTACAGAATGTTTTATTTGACCTGCAAAATTAAGCAAAAGAAAAATATAAACATGTTCTTCCCACCTTTCCTGAATCTCAGAGAAAAGAAGTAATATTGGTGAAATATTTAAGTACAATGAATTTCCTATGGTAAACAACCTTTCAACCTAAATGACTTAGTTGCATGACGGGTACAACTACAAGTTTTGGAATGTTGTCAAACACTACTAATTTGTCAAAGATTTGGCATTTGCCCAATGAAGGGGTGAAATTTGTGACACAAGGTAGAATCCAATTTTTTTGACCAAATTATCGCATATCTTCGAGTCTGCCATTTAAAAATTACAAGATTACGAGAACTGCCTCTGTAGGAAGTTCGTCATTTTACTCGACAGAAGATTAAAACTAGGTGACATTATAATTAAAAACCGGAAAGAAATGGCATAATTCTTTATGAAGCAAATAATTTTGGACACTGCCATCGGTGATAAATTTACCGGCAAATATGTCCTTCTACAGTCTCGTATCTCGTCAAATCAACAGAAACTGAGAAATACCACATTTAAGTGCTATAAACATTAGTCCGACCAATTAGACGATATTGTACGGTAAAGTTAAATGATTAATTTTTTCCGAAAGTTGTTTTTACTCAAAGAATAATTTATAAGACCAAGCCAAGAAAAAACATCTGTTCAGTTGTTCTAATCCAATTCGTTTGGATCGAATAGTACATACCTTCATTGTCGATTGAAGTTGTAGCGCTCATAGCCAGTTTAAAAGTTAGTTCTGTAAGAAAAAAGGAAAACGTTACGCCCAAGAAATCAGGTGTACCTTAACCAAATTAACGATTTGTACCTCCACATTTCTTTTGGAGCTTGTTGATCTCCGCATAGAGTCCCTGCAATGTTTTTGCGTGCTCTTGTTGCATAAAAAGGATAGAACTTTCAGCATTCTGAAGCTGTACACGAGCCTGAGCTAGCGTTCCAGCCATTTCTGAAGTCCTGTCGGTGTTTAGATGCGATCAAACGGATATCACAGCACGTAAAGCTAGCCCTTCACCTTCGTTGACCATCTATTCCAAGATGGCTGCTTCCCCGTTGCCACGAGCAGCAGAACAAATATTTCTTGACGAAACCGGTTTGGTTTCGTCACAAATTATCTTACGTCATAGATCAATAAAAGTCTTAACTTCATTGGCTATCAAAATATACAATACACCAATCAGATTTTCTAATCTATTGATGAAGAGGCAGAGAAGCGTGGTTGCCAAGCCCCAAGAGCCCGAAGGGACAGTTTTGTTTTTGGTCTCGCATGCGTCCTTTACCAAATCTGACCTGAATTCTTAGCCTATTTCCTTGTTTTGTGGGATGGGTTCTACCTCTCAGCAAAGCGGTGTGGTAGTATGGGAGTGGGAAGAAAGACATGGTCTCTGGATTCCTTACCAAGCGGATGTTGTTGAGTACTTAGAAAAGAAGTACTCAATGCTTGAGCAAGGGAAATCCAGTAAGTCCACCGTAAGCTTCAAAGGGAAACACTTCCATGGTTTACATTGCTATGAAGTTGATCTAAATAAAATGGAACAACAGAGAATGGAAACTGGTAAGAGTTCAACTACTATGTTCGATCTTTTGAGTTTCGTCAGTTTCTCAACGAAAGTTAGCCAATCCAAAAGCTGCTCATATTTGAAACCGGAAGTAATTTAAATATAAACTCAAGGGATGTCTGAGAAACAAGCACTTAGCCTTAGCATTTGAATAGTTTATGGTATGTATTATAATTAATATACAAGGAGATAGAGTGTTATACATGGAAATTATGCTGGTTCACCCTCCAAATATCAGAATTATACCAAATACACGTTTGTAAACAGGTTAATTTTTAAGCACAGTCTAGTTTAGTTTTAAATATATTGTAACATAGGATGTGTGTTTTTACCTTTTGAACTGAAATAAAGACTATATTTATACTTGTCAAGTACTACACAGAAACCAACAGCAGCTTTGGGAATTCAAAATCTTAATACTTGAATTCCAGGGACATTACGAAAGGTCAGGAGATCTGTTTATTCAAGCAACTCATTACCAGGATATGGAATAAGATGGGAGTGGCATAATGATATCACTTGGGCGGCATATGACATTCCAACATCAGAAGCAATTGAAAAAGCATACAAGTCTAATATGCCAAGGTTGGATTTGTCAAGCTCACCTGTTGCAATTCCAAACTATGTGGATTTTCAAGGACATGTAATAAAACAGATCAATATTCATACACATTTTGAAAGGTATGTGCAGAGATTAACACACCAGAAGTATCCAAAGGATACCTTGACCTTGAAAACTACTGGTGCATCCTCTAACATTAGAGAAAAGACATCAACCTTGAAAAGTACTGGTGCATCCTCCAACAGCAGAGGAAATACCTTGACCTCTGTGAATGGTCGTTTGGCCTCTAAGCATACCACACCTTCCAAACCCACTGTTACTAGGCAAAGTTCAAAAACCAGTAGTACTGTAAAGAGAATAAAGAAGATGAAGGTTCAAGATTCTCAAGGTAAAGTAATCAGCCCTTTTATCATTATTTTATCTTGTGACTTTGATGATGACTCCCATTCAGGTTTTTTTGGGGGAGTTTAAGGGCTAACCCTGATGCTTAAAACTATTTTACTCCCATGATCTAAACTTAAATTCTCTATACTGTCTGTTGTATATTTGATTTATTGCTATCTCTGAGAATTTGGTGTTAAATCAGACAATATCTCCTCATCGATCTGTTTCTTTTGTCTCGTCACCCTTCTGCTTGAGACTGCAAGGCTGTGCTCTAAGGAAAATTGAAGGGAGCTCAGTGCTCTAAAACTGTGAAATCCAGGGTGCCCAGCATATGCTTTCTATGAAAAAAACTAAGATTCCTGAGTCATCCAATAGTAAAAGTAAGCTGCCAAGGGTCACCAGGCGCCGCTAGACCAAAGCCTTGAACTGTATTGGTTTTGTAAGGAGAAATTCTGTTTATTTTTATAACATAACCAAAGTAAAGCGCGCGCTTTGGTTGGTCAATTTAACGTCCCCCATTTGCCCGTGGGTGTATGCTGCTGACGTGAGCAAATGCAAAGACTATTTTTCAGCACGTGCTTGTTTTTTCTGTTCGCGTAAGATTTGTTAAACAAAAGGGAACTCTTTAGCTACAATGTATCAATGTTATGTTATAAAACAAATCGTAAACACCACAGTGTACACTATTGAGTTATGGATGCACTTGGGAGGTTTGCTAAGCACTCAAGAAGCTAGAGTCGCTCTCGGCTATCGCCTTGAGCGACTCTTACACTTCTTTCGTGCTTAGCAACCTCCTGTGTGCATCCATAACTCAATAGTGTACGCTGTGGTGTTTACCATTTGTTAAATATATTTATTTATTTATCAACAATATTTTAGCAGAGATGCCCAGTTCAGCATATGCTGGTTTAAATGGGGCTCTGCATATGAAAATTAAAATACAATTACACATGATACAGTATAAAACAAATGTATAATATAACTACGAGAATATTTACAAGTAAGTTAATTAACTAGAAGTTATTCTAAAATAAGCTTGAAATGACTGTTTTAAGTACAAAAGACTTTCAGAATTCCGTATTATGGATGGTAGAGAGTTCCAAGTTTTTGCTCCATTATATCGGAAAGGAGACTGGTATTTTGCAGTTTTCTGTTTTGGCTACTCCTGGGAGTCAAAGAGTTCTAAGTTCCCAGAGGACTTATTAATTTCTATCATCTCCAAAGATGAGGCCTATCAGAGAGGGAGTAGGGGCCTTATTGAAAACTCGTTGATAAGAGCTGAAATGCAAGAAAAAATGAAAATTAGATACAAGGACTGAATCTTTAAAACGTTGTAATACACCTCCAGGAGGCCTATCTATTTCCAGCGCTTCCTGACAAGAGTTTATCTGAGTGTCGGGCTTGTAAAACTCATGGATGAGAGCCAAAATGCAAGCCATTAACCATTCCACCAAGATCTAATTGATAATTCTCCTCACTGTCAGCCATATAATTCTTATGGTGTTAAGTAGGAGAAGATGGTATTGGATCCTAATTGAAGACATCACTTGATGGATACTGAAAGGTAATGAAGGCTTTCTTCAAAGTTTTATTACTTCTTTCTTTAGATGTTGGTGCAACAGCTGCTGATCCCCTTTCTGAATTCTGTAATGATGTAGAAACAGCTCCAGATGAGGTATTTATCATAATTGTTATAGAACATAACTGCTAATTTTTTTAACAATTTATCTGCCTACCTATTTTTGTTTCTTTTTTTTGTTTCCTGTCATTCGTCATTGAAGCTTGATTTTTTGTTTGGTGATACAGGTTTTCTTTTACTTTTTGTTATCTACAGGACTGTGCTATTTGTTTTGAAAAGCTCTGCAATATCTCCTCATTTGACGATGAAACTGAAGACAGTGGGAAAGCACAATCTCCGAATATCAAAGAGTTGAACCAGTGCAAACATGTGTTTCATGCCTCTTGTCTTCAAGCAATGTATGATAGTGGAGCCAAAGTAAGATGGGAAGATATAATACTCACAGTACTTGTATTTTACGGTTATATTAGATTGTTTTAAGAGTTACAATTGGGGATAGTTTCCCCATAATTTCCCTCCAAATAAGCTCAATGATGTCCTGAATTGAATGTGAAAGTGATCCTTGCAGTAATGAACACTACTTTGTAATAAGTAGTATGCATTACTGTAAGGATGGATTTCATATTCATTTCTTAAACTGCAATGCACATATACAATTTTCAGGTGTGAATTTTTAATATTCAAAGATTTAAAAAGGTGTGAAATTCAAACGTTATAAGTCAAGACTTTTTGTGGCAGTCTTTTAAACAATCATGGAGTTGCGGGTTTCATAGAAGATGGTTAAAAGAATGGCCAAACCAGTTAAATTTTTTGACCTGAGAGCTGAATATGCTTAGTATTTTTTTTTTTTGCCTGGAATCATAGGATGGAAGTCTGCAGTGCCCAACTTGTAAAGCAATTCATGGTATTAAACATGGTAATCAGCCCAAAGATGGCACTATGGATATCACTCGCTCACCCAGAAGCCTTCCAGGCCATGCAGACTGTGGAATGATCACAATTGTATATGACTTCCACAGTGGAATACAGGTATTATTATTATTATTATTATTATTATTATTATTATTATTATAATTATTATTTTACCCCTTTTAGTCTTTCACTTTCTACTCAACTGGTCTTTCCTGATGGCAACCCCTATTAACCTTTTGCAAAATGTAAATTTTAATAATCATTGTTGTCTGGGGAATTATCACAAGGAGTTGTTCAGAACTCTAACATAAAAAAAATAAACTACCTGAAATGCAGGAAACCACAGCTGCCCAATGATATCTTAAATTTGACTGGTTAGGAAAGTAGGGTAAGTTTTCTAGACCAATCACTGAATGAAGTAAAGTAAAACCAAAGAAATCCCAAATTACTTTTGACACCCAGTCGAAAATTTCTCTCTATTTTGGTTATTTGGTTAATCTTAGGGACCGGAACATCCTAATCCAGGGAAAAGGTACAGTGCCAGAGGATTCCCAAGGTCATGTTACCTGCCAGATAATGAGAAGGGAAGAAAGGTACTGTTGTTTGCTTAACATATTTGTGCATGTGCTCTCTTGCAGTCTGTATTCATGTAAAATGTAACACTGGAACTGTAATAATGCAGTCCAAATTTAATCACTGAATTGAAACTTCTCTGGACAGGTGTTGAAGCTCTTGAAAAAAGCTTGGAAAAGAAGATTAACTTTTACCATTGGTACATCCTCAACAACTGGAGAAGATGGTACAGTTGTCTGGAATGAAATCCACCACAAAACAGAACCATTTTCAAACCACATGGGACATGGCTTTCCTGACCCAAACTATCTGGACAATGTTCTTGCAGAGCTGGCAGCACAGGGTGTTGAAGATGATCCAGAAGTCACTGTAATATAATACAAAGTAACATACTGTCAATCAAATTGTGTATATAGTCTTGTCAAACTTTGATTTTCCTAATGCAAACAAATAACTGGTGTTAGAAAAATAGCTGTGTTTTGGTTATGAATCATGGTTTATGCAGATCATGAGAAAGTTGTGAAAATTTCAAGTGTGCATCGTAGAAAGTTTTAAGATTATTTTTAAACCAACTTGTCAATCATTGGTTGTAGAAAATGTCAAAACAACATTGTATGAAAAGTCATGAAAATGCTGTTATAGCTTTGGTAAATGATATGTTAACTGATTTTTGTAACTGAACTTGACTAGCAATTTTGTTGGAGGTATTGATGAGATGGGAAGCACACAATGTATCATGGAATCAAACAGTTTGAAAGACCTTAAGAAATAGTTTAGTGAAGAGGATTAAAAAAAAAAACCCAATGATTTCCTAAAAAAATTAATTGTGAAGCAAATTACTAGCAGGCAATAAGAAAAAGTATCAAGTGTGTAATAAAAATGAAATAAAAGTATGTCTAAAATACATTTTACCAGTGAAAAATAAATACTGGTAAATCAATCTTGATCAGAACTGGGTCCCATACTTGTTTATCGACTGGTCATGACAACAGATTTAACCTTCACTTTTTCAGTATTTTCTGTAAATGACTCAGTCAAGCTATAGCATCTGAATAATTTATTTGAAGTAGAAAATAATAACTCTTTGGAAAAAGGTAACAGATTACTAACTAATTAAAATAAACACATGGTCAAGTTTTTTTTTTTCCTTGCAACATTTAGAAATCCCTGGTTAAAAAAAAAGGAAATTCTAGTGGGAGCCAATTTTAATAGTAGGATCTGTTTCCTGGACTTGATCTTAACCCATTAATGGCCGCAGCCTTTGTGGAAAACTGTGTTTTGAAGCTAGTCGAGCAGATTTCGGGTCACTGTTGTGGTTTTAAAAGCTCAAACTGCAAAATTTTCAAATAGAGGCCTGCAAACTTCTTTATTTTAAAACTGGACCTTTTGGTTTTTCATTTCACATGAAACCAATAGAGGGGAGAGTTATTGTTCGTCTGCCACGTGTTAACTTGGTGGGAACATATATGCAAGTGCTTCCTTTTCCAATGCTGTGATCTCTGAGTGCCAGAGATCTAACATGAGGACAACTCTTTCACCGTTCAAACCTTTGTGCCACGCTTCGTGAAGAAAAGAATCGTCAAACAGTAAAAGCTCTCTTTCATTCCACCTTCTCTGTTCGCCGTTCACGCACAAGTGACAATTGTCCGGAACAAAAAGAGGCAAATGACACCTAATCCTACAATTTGTTGGGCCGTAGTGAGAAGTTATGTGTGTTCCAGCTCGAACAACTGAAAACAGCGCATTGCCAAAAGAGCATCCTTTCACAGATGATTCGATAGATTCAATGATCTCCACGGTTCTCGGGCACTTCCTGCAATTTCGGACAACTCTTTTCCCTTGATTTATCAAGTGATAAACTAACCATTCCCCTTCGGGAGTTGAATTTTTAACCCATCCTTCACCACTTACGTCAAATCGAATTTGGTTGAATTCTGACCGTATCTTCTCAAAGTTCTCGGAACAGACCAAAGTTGTTCGTTGATCTGAGAGGCAGTCATGCCAAGGTTTGCTAGACAATCCGTCTAGATAAAACACTGTAGGTTTTTGTGCGGATGAGAGATTATTCCTCTTCTTGTGTGTCCTGTTGTATTCGATTCCTTTAAAAAGGCGATCAAGTCCACCCTTGTCCGATTTCATCCGTGCAAATTCGTCCAGTTTTGAAAACAATATCTCAGCTGTTTCCGATGGCGATTTAATTAAATTGTGAGAGCATCGAAGGCATTCCGAAGATTGACAAAAATTTGTATCAACTGGGACTGAAATATGACTATCACTCCCCTGGCTGAAAAATTTGGTCAAAAAAGTTGCAGTAAACAGCACAGCTACAGCTACCACTCCTCTGACGATAAAACTGAACACAAAAGAAGAGATTTGCCAAAATTGCTCTTCTTCGTCCGCCATGTTTGTTTAGGGAGGACTGTAGTGCCAGTCTCTCCGCTGAAATCAATCAAGAAAGGCGCATAGCCATCACCAACAAATCTCGCAATTGTTGGTTCCAGTTGAAATTTGTTTCGGTGGACCTTAAAAATAAGCGCGTGAGACCTTCCTTATTTTCTAGAAGCCCTCTGAGACAGAAATTTCCTAATCACAATTATTTTCTTGCGCTCCACAGCTAAATTTCCCCGTCTCTATTCTCGGCGAGCGGTGGGAAAGGCACTTCGGCCATCGAATTGTAGGTGGGGGGGGGGGCCGGGGGGGACTGTTATTGTCACCTAAAATTAGTCGGTGAAGATTTTAAGTAAGTGCTTGGGGAAATCTTCTCGAATTGCAGCTGCCATTAGCATCAGAAAGATTTTTTTTACCTGCAACTCCTCAATTAGCAGTGGCGCGCGCACTTAGGGTCATTTATGACGTCATTAATAAGAAGAGAAATCTCCAAGTACTTAAGGTTGCTATCAATACATATTACCAGCAGTTTATTTGACGGCGAAGTGAATTCAAGCGACTTTCGACTCATGGATGAAGGTCATACATCTTTTGTGCTCCATGATCTCCCGGATTCAATAATATTACAAATATTTTGTACATTCACGATCAAAGAACGCCTCCTGTTGCGACGGGTGTGTTGGAGGTGGCACTACCTTCTGAAAGACTACAGTGTGTGGAAGAGTATAGATCTTAGTGAGGATAGCTTCTTATCGAGCAAGGTCAATAACAATATCCTAGAAGGTTGGATCACAGCCTGGGGTAAGACTATTCAGCAAATAGACGTAAGCGACTGCCGGTGGCTCACAGATGTCGTTGTTCAAAAAGTCGCGCAAAATTGCGCAGATCTCCGAGATTTAAACGTGGAAGGCTGCTTTCAAGTATCCGACGCAGGAATGAACGCGATAGCCTCAAACTGCATGCGCCTAAAAAGGCTAAACGTTTTTCTTAGCGGAGTGTCAGAACAAGGTTTTGACAGACTGTTAAAGCAGTGCCCAAACTTGGAAAATGTTAAGTTAGGGAGTAGAGGGAACTGCCATCGAATGATAGTGTCTGTGTGTAGCAGCGTAAAAGATTTAAAAGCGATCTCCATTCATGACGTCATCCCGTTTGACGAGGGCGAACCAGTGGTAGATGACCTCTCATTATGGAGATTATGCTCTTGTTTCCCCGGGCTGACAGCCATTGATCTTACATGGTGCTGTTTTATCACTGATGACGCATTATTTGCCCTCCCGTTTTGCTGTCCAAATCTCAAGTCTTTCACTGTTCGGGAATGCCATCAGATTTCAGACCGCGGAGTCCGTGCCGTGTTCCAAATTTGTCATTTAACCCTGTCAAAAGTGCACCTGGAACGTCTATACAGCATCACAGACGTTCTTACACTCTCACCGGAAGACCTAAAACCTTTTCCTAATCTCTCGTTCCTTAAAATGATCGATACATCTATTTCCGACGTCGGCGTTGCGAAGATTGCCGAGAAAAGCCCAAACTTACAAACTCTCATTGTCGGAGAGCACTGTTTTAATCCATACAACATTCATGGCGGTTTCATTCCCACCATCGCAGAAACTTGTCAAAAGTTGAGACGATTCAAATTATATTCAGGAAGAATGAAGGACAATTATTTGACTGCTATTGCCGAAAACATACCTTTTATAACCGATCTCTATCTCGGCGACTGTCGTGACTGTACAGCACAAGGTTTAAATAGCATAATTTTGCGCTGCCGCTGGTTGCAAATATTGCACATTCTTAACTGTTCCCATGTAACCAATAAGACATTAGTTCTTATATCGCGGAACTTGACGGATCTCAAGGAGTTAGAGATTCTAAATTGTAGGAGTATCACCACTCAAGATGTCTTAGAACTCAAACGAAAGTTACCACAGTGCGACGTCCGGTATTAACCGTCAGTGAATAGCGGGGAACCCCAAGGATGAGCACTCCGTATCTGCTCCTTATGAGTTCAGAGGGGATGTGCAGGGAAATTTTGGGTTTCATCGGAGCATTCTTTGTCGCGCAAGTTAGATTAAGACTCTTGGGCTCCGCTTGTGTGTGGAAAAAGATTATGATTTATCTAGGAAGTCTAGAAAAGCTGGACGTCGTTTGCAAAGAAATCGGGAATTATATCCTCTCCGATTATCTGAGTCACTGTCATAGTGGCTTCCGAACAGTTTCTAAGAGTGAAATATAAGTAGCAGATCCGTTTCAGCGGGTATACGCCATAAGATATCACCTCCCTTTAATTTGAAAGCGAAACAACCGAACGAAAGTCATTTTCCACTTCTGTAATATTCTTTTCTTTCGGCCGCGGTAGTCTTAGTTACTCGACCGACCGCTATTCTTTGGTTTAAAAATGGACAGTAACTCCTAACATCTACAGCACAAATTCTCTTTTACAGAAACAGTATGTTTCCTTTTGAACTGGTCAGGAGAATTTGGTGTTCTATCAAACTAACATCTTCTAGCTGAGTCAATCTCATTATCCGTTTCTGGATGATGGATTAAAACGGGAAGGAGTGGCCCTGAGTTTTAGCGACCTCTAGCGCTAAGATTAAAAGGTGAATCGCTTTCACTAGGCCTTATATACGGCTGTCAAATATAAGCAAGATATTATTTCAAATATAATGACTTTTATTAAATATTTGCTTCCAACTCCATGATAAAAAATAAATTACAAATTTCTTTGAAATTATTATAATTTATATTTTCTGTTATAAATAAAATATACAATTTACAAGTGAACTTCTCGATTCGATCAAAACGCCCTCATCACACAGCTCAGGATTCATGACTCATATCCTATTAGCTCTTTAAACTGAACTCACAAAGTTTTTAACTCAAAATACGATAACAAATGTTCAAAGCTTTGAGAGATAAATCTGTGGTCTTTTAAAAACACGATCCACCATAGCACTCGCTTCAATAGCACAGCCCCACGAGAAAGTCACACCCAAGCCCCCATGTCCATAGTTGTGCAGAAGAGAAGGACACACATGGTCCCACTCAAGACGAACGTTACCATGGCGAGCAGGACGCAAGCCAACCAACACTTCCTCTACATCATCGTCTCCATAGTTACGGAGGGGTGGGTAGAACTCCTTTACCTTCTCAAACATTCTTCTGATTGGTGGATAGTCGAGCGTCAGATCTCTGTCCCACTGATGAGGTTGCACCATTCCACCCAACCACAGTTTGTCGTCACCTCTTGGTAAAATGAACACGAAGCTTTGTCCTTCCTTATCTGACTCATCAAACTCCTTGATTATAGAGATGCACATGGAGTGATTGAGTTTGGGCATCAAACTTCCGTCATTTCTCACTTTTAAAATCACGCCTGTAATGACAAAATAGAAAGGCTGATCGGTGAGTGAGGAAAAAACTAAATTCTGTCAATCAGCCCACTCAGGATGCCCAACATATATGATTTAGTAGGACATACAGAAGTTATTTACCTCTCAGAGGGTAAACATCTTCATCTCCTGCCAATTCTTTGGCGTTGAGTCCAGAGCAGTTAAAGATTAACTGAGCTTTGTATTTCTTTTTCAAGTCTTCTGCTTGATCCCTCAACAATCCGTGAATCTCATCGTGTACAAAGTGACAGCCCTTTTCACGACACTGTTTGTAAAGCCACTGCATGTAGGTGACTGTGTCAACCATGGGAGCCATGTGTTGATATGCGTCCACAACACCCGTGTCTGTGTTCAAGCCTAAAGGAGAAAAAAAAACCGAGGCCTCGTTGATTCAAAGGTAATTTGAAGTACGTCATAATGGGAATTTTCTTATAGATTCTAGATCCTCGCAGCTAAATAGCAAAGAGCGAGAACAATGAATGAATTTTTGCTGTGATCTAACTTCCCAGTTTCTTCAATGAGTTTGGCATCATGGCGGAACCCTGGCAAATGATTCAGTTCATTCATCTTTTCCAACTGTTGAGGAAGATTATTTACCTGACGAAAGAAAGGGAAAGAGCAAGATCGTGAGAGATAGTTTTATAGAGTCTAATTGGATCCAAGACGTTACGACGGATCAAAGTGTTCGGTAAATGAAGCTAAGAGTTACCTTGTCCTTAAAGTAAAAGATAGATCGTCTGAGGAAAGCTCCAGTTTCCTTTGAATTCATGGCCAGCTCCATGAACTTGGCATAGCCATCCATGCCCCAAACCTTGGCTCTCTCCAGCGACTTTTCGTTGGTGTGTCGCCCACAGAGCGCTGGAGGCCATTCCCATAGAGCACCAGCGATCTCAGAAGTGATGCGTTTACCGGAGGAGACTGGGGAGGCGTACTCCTTGGCTAAAACTGTCACTTTGTACCTATGAACGATGGAGTATTTAAGAAGATTGCCATTGCATATTTATTTTTAAAAAAACCACCTGAAGAGTTGTCCCTATTTTCTGTTAAAGAGTGGACAGGTTTAAAACCCAATTTTATTTGTCTAAAACGTGGATTTACTTCATTTTATTCTACTATCAGAATACTTTGCAAGTAATGGAATGGCAGCGTTTCGTAATCGTATTTGACCGCTGATTTTTTCCTATTTGAATATTTATTGTAGTCGTATTCGCCAGCCTGGCTTAAGATGTTAGAACTCATTATTATAATCTGTGTGAATTGTACAAAGCTCTTAACATTTATAAGTATCTTTTTTTCTGAACTCTTTGCCTCACTTTGCTAGTGATGATTGGAGAGACAAACTTTGTCGCGGTGAGGTTTTGCTTCTAAAAAAAAAAACATGAGCAAAACATTTGTAGTTTGTAAGTAAAAGATCGTGTCAATGTCACATATGCTTCGCATGATTGATGTTTTCAGCGCTTTCCGCTTTTGTTGCTGATCCTGTCTGTTACTTTTTTTCACAGCCGGTCAGGAAAGAAGTCTGAGGATAAACTTACCCTTTATTCAACAACTGTAACGCACTGGTCATCCCAACAACTCCACCTCCAATAATTAATACACGAGGAGCTTTCTGAGCCTTCTACAATGAAAAGGAGAGAATTCAGACAAGCTTTTTCTTTTCTTGTCTCTGTCAGGAGGGGATTTCTCAGTGATTGACGTGCATCTACAATGTAAAAAGCGCGAACCAATTGTTTTATGACATAGCTAGCCTGTGTAACAGGCGTATAAAGGGGAGGGGGCGGGGGAGGAGGAAGATCTGCACCTTTGCCGATCTTCCCACCCCCCCCCCCCTTTATACGCCTGCTACAAATCCGACACGAAAAACGGACAACATTATCAGAGGTGAGTGTTCGCCGTAAGCGAACTATTAAGCAAAATAGGACTTGGTTTTGACCAGTTTGTCATTTGGTGGGTTTGACCAGAGTGTCTTTCTGTCAAAATTTGTCGCATTTCGCCCACTGACAGTGAAGCGAATCGTGACCGCGCTGATGCCCAGTCTCCTTTTCCGTTGTTTTTCTCTTTTTCTGCCTCATTTAAGAACTCTAGCCCAAGGAAAAAGGTCGGAAAATTGTCTTCGTTTTGGTACTGGTGGGCCGAGTCTGTTTGTATCCATTATTGTCACGAAATATATTCTTTTTCCCCCCGCTAACAATGGCTGCTCGCGCGAAAAGAAAAATTTCTAGCGAAGCGATTTGCTCACGCGATCAGCGTGCACTATCGAGATTTTGAGCACGCTTACGTATACTGAATTTGATTGCGCGGCTCTGCTAGCTATGTTATAAATGTACTTAGTCAATACTCGACGGCAATAAATGGCATTTATTTTCAAACAAAGCCTTTCCTCGAAAATATCATATAATTTTATTGGTAATTCGTCTTTTTCCCGTAAGTTCCATGTCAGAATCCTTATCTTAAGTTTCCTTGTATTGTCTAAAGTTCTTCTAAACTGGAGAGCCATAGTCTTAGAGGCTGCTTCTGGAATTTAAGATGACTTCTCAGGTACGTCTTCAACACTTTTTTCTTTTAGAGTCTTCAAGCTGATCAGGTCCCTTTTGCCGATATTTTCCCGTTATATAGCCATGTGAAACACAGAGATATTGAAGATTCGGAAAATGGACAATTGTCCTCCCTTTTAAGCTGACGTCAATGGTCCCCAAGGAATGCATGACAAGGCAACATGTACTTTTCATGACAGTCACGTTTACTAAGAAAAAAAATTACTCCTATTTTTTTCGCAATCGTTAACTTCTGGCCGTGATTTTAAGTCACTTTTCATGGATGGCATAGATAATATACATAACGTGTTTTTATTTTCGAAATTCTTGCTAGCCCAAATCTGCGAATCCGCACGTTAATACGTGAGCTTCGTTCAAAGCATTGTCTTCGGCACTTTGGCAATCAATCCTCCCTTGATCGATAATAAAAAGTTAATCTCTACATCCGGTGTGTTATTTTCTTTCACAAACTTCCAAGGAAACATTGGTGGAAGAACGTGACTAACTGTACGTGCTGGTCTCCTCCAAACATTCTATTGTGCCTTTGGCAACAGACGTTAATGCATGTATTCAAATATTACTTACATTGTCAGAAACGAGTTCCTTTGCTTCAAATTTTAGTTTTGCATTCCACGTCATATAGACTTTGATCCTTTGAGGGAAAGAGAATAACTATCTAGAGCTCAAACTTTTCAAAGCTTTAAGNGCAAAAAAATGTTTCAGCTTAGAACTTTTATTCATTCTTCGTTGTTGTTCTATCAGTAAATCCTGAATGATTTTGACGTATTTACCATTGTCACGGAGTGACGCGAGTGACTGGCATCACAACTAAACTCGCTTCGTTCAAATGACAAGGCAGTTTAATACTTTGATTTTCATCTGTCTCTAAAAGATCCGATGAATTATTCAGTCGCCGTATGTGACAGTTAGTATTCTGATCATGAGACAAAGAAATAATTTGAAAATCCTAATATCACAACGTGTAATTTTTATCCATCCTATTTGCGTCTGTTAGGACAATGCCTTGAACTGACGCTCAGAACGTCAATTGGGTCTGATATGTGTTCTTGCCCTAGGCGTGGAGTTGGGAATAACTTAGAACCCAGTTTTAAAATGCTGATCTCTTCGTTTTCCCCGACGAAAGGTGTGAAAAGCCATCATTTGGATCAGGGACAAGAAAGATTTTTGGGTAGCTCTCATCGCTACCTGGACTAGCCTTGCTAAAAGGGATTATAATTCTAGTTTTTGTCGTGACTCTAGCAAACTGACGTGGCTATAAATCTCTTCAAATTCTACCTTTTTACGCTGAAACAGAGGCGCTCACAATTAACCTTTTTTCTGCTTCTGGGCATGTGTCAGAGATCGTAGCCTATAATGCAGCAAAGCACTCGCAGATTTAAAGCCGAATGTCTTTGGAAGCTAAATGGGATATATATACCTTATTAGACGTTTTGTTGTGTAGTATCGCTGAGTATTTTTAACTAGTTGTGCAGTATTTTGACTCGCCCTACGGGCTCGTCAAAATACAAACAACGAGTAAAAATACTCAGCGATACTACACAACAAAACGTTTAATAAGAGATTTATTATTCAACACGCCAAATTGTTATTTCAGTACTGGCGAATTTGGCGGATATTTCTGGAGTACAAATATCGCGTAATATTTTTACTCGTCTCGCGCGTTATTTGCACTCTACGAAGCACATTTGGATGATAATTTGCATTAGATCACCTAGTTGAATCTCACGATATGATCGTGAGAGAGTCGAAAAGAAGTCACGTATAATTAACTGACATAGATAACAGCAATACTGAACTACATGAAAGATTTGTGGGCATGTAAAAAAGAAAAAAAAAACGCATAGATAAAAAAAACAAGATGAAGAAAATAGTATAATTATGACCTTCAAACTTTTTGGACCTGGTCTTAAATTTGATTTCAAACACAAGTTTATCCGGTTTTCGACTTAATTCAACTTTGAATGCGTTTTCACCTGAAGATACGCTAGATGAAATCATGAAAGCCCAAAACTCTAGGAAAGAAAAGAAAATTATTTTCCGCCCTGCACAATGGACTCGGCCGGTACACAAGTTAACAACAAACCATTCGATTCTTTGCTCCACTTTCAGCATCTAAATGATAGGTTATAGGATATTTTCGAGAAACATCATTCGTCATGATAAACCCCCTCCCCATTAAAACTAGGCCCACGCGCGTTTTCAATCGCGTTTTCATGTACATGTCTGACTTGTGATGGGCTTTGGAATGCATATGGCGGAAGCGTGTTTTTTTTTTTTTCACGTTTTCTCTGGTATCTGGTAAACTGATTATTATCATATTTTTTTTAGCGTTACACACGAAAATTAACCCGTGACATGTAACTGTTTAGCAACCGATGCCTTTTGTTTAGTCTTCAGAAGAGAACTGCAAACACCTTTTGACTCTAAAAAGCAAATCCGGAGATCGTGCCCTTAGCCCAGTGTACTTGAAATGTCAATACCATAGGTTATTTGACCCCAACCCCGGTAGTGATGGGTTTACTTGACTTCCGACGGCTCTATGTTAGCATTTTGACGACACGTTCTCTATTTGTCGACACGAGCCAGGCTAATTGGGACAAAACATGCTGTTTCCAGCGTTTGGTTGCGAACCATCTTAGATAGACACTGTGATTGTCCCCGGCTGAATGGCCTTACATTTCCGACGGCTTTATATTAGCATTTTGATGACACGTTCTGTATTGATCGACATGAGCCAGACTAACCACGGGGGCAAAACATGCTGTTTCCAGCGTTCGGTTGCGAACCATCTTAAAAAGACACCGTGACTGCCCCCTTTAAATTTTCCTTCACGCATAGATAGTACAAACTAATTGTCTGAAAAGCGGTCTCAGCCGTGCTTCTGGTAATCACGTAACGTACGGACTTTTATTGCAAAGTCATGCGTAACGTAGAAATACACGACCGGTGTATTGCGTAACAGCTAGTGTGTTGCTATGGACATGACAAGGAGCGTCTTCGAGGAGCCTACGAGGAGATGAGGCAACAGTCAATAAGTCACATTCTCAGAGAGCGTTTTTTGAGAATTTTTGAATGGAAAAAACATGTCAAGAGAATATACAGAGCTAATAATTTTATTCCTAATCCAACGACACTGGATCTTCCACGTGTCGGTAATCACCTACGACTTCTTTGCGAGGAAATCACGTACGATTAACAGATACGTGCGGGATTCCAAGATTTAGCTTACAGATAGTTCTCTCCCACCTCCACCCTCCCCCCTTCCCCACCAAAAGAAAAGACAAAAAAAGAAAACTACATATATGACTTGAATCAAAATACCTCCAAAATATGCTGAATTTCTCTCCCACGAGACACAGCTCCCATCCATACATGTAAATGTTGGTGAGTTTTTAATTCTAATTTTTTTGTGTGCGTGTAAAGTAAACGTGAGCTTTCGCCTGTTTGGTGAGTTTGCGCAAGTCAGTACGAGTTAGATTCCTCAGGAATATTGACGTCACGCGTTAAGAGAGAAAAAATGTCCTATTTCCGAATTTTTCAATACGTCCTCGTGTGACTTGTCTATAAAACGGGGAGTACATTTGCCAAGTGAACCAGATCAACTTGAAGACTCAAGAAAACAGAACGATAGAGGCTTGAAAACTGAACTTCCATCAAAAACATGCCTTTTTTACAGTTTGGAACAACCTTGGACACCTCCAAGAAACTAAAGGTAAGAATTCTGAATATTGTCCACTTACGACGGAAAGACTTTTTAAAAGCTATCAGCATACTTAATGGATGATAGTTCTCGGCTCCGTTTCCAGCACTGACAGCAAAGTACATTCCTTTATTGAATTCTAAATACAAAATCCTAAGGCATGAATTATAACCAAAGGAAGGGAAAAGTTACAGAAGAACTGATTACAACTCTTTCCTTTTCATTCTAGAACATTCAGAAAGTTCCTCGTGTATTAATTATTGGAGGCGGGGTTGTTGGAATGACCAGTGCGTTACAGTTGTTGAATAAAGGGTAAGTTTATCAATGGCTTGTTTTGTTTTGTTTTTTTATGAAAAACCAAAGAAAACAAAATAGCGACAAAAGTTGGGGATAAAACTAGCGGTTTTAACATCATCAGATCATTTGTGAGAATTCAGTCTTATTAACCCCCCTTATTATCGCCTTGTGTTAGGTACAAAGTCACAGTTTTAGCGAAGGAGTACGCCTCCCCAGTCTCCTCCGGTAAACGCATCACTTCTGAGATCGCGGGCGCTCTATGGGAGTGGCCCCCAGCGGTCTGTGGGCGACACACCAACGAAAAGTCACTGGAGAGAGCCAAGGTTTGGTGCATGGATGGCTATGCTAAGTTCATGGAGTTAGCCATGAATTCAAAGGAAACTGGAGCTTTCCTCAGGCAATCTATCTTCTACTTTAAAGACAAGGTAACTCTTCATTTGCAGAACTTTTTTTTCGGGGCAATCGTTTCGTCTTTTATCCTATGAGTCGTCTACAGTACTAAATGTTTTCTCTCAAATGTCAAACAACTTTTGAATGTTGACACTATAACTCTTTCCCTTTAATTCTTCAGGTGAACAATCTTCCTCAACAGTTGGAAAAGATGAACGAACTGAATCATTTACCGGGATTCCGACATGACGCCAAACTTATTGAAGAAACTGGTAAGTTTGAACTTGGTAAATGGAACAAAAATATGTCGTTTCCCTTTCAATGTTTTGGTGAATGAATACTCTTCGCTAGAAGCGTCCAGACTGAATAAAAAAGAGAAAAATGCTCTCACTCAAACACTCACTACTAAGTTCTCCGATCAACAGTTAAATAAATCCTGAATTTCTTTTCTTTCTTCTGACTCAGGTGTGAACACAGACACGGGTGTTGTGGACGCATATCAACACATGGCCCCCATGGTTGACACAGTCACCTACATGCAGTGGCTTTACAAACAGTGTCGTGAAAAGGGCTGTCGCTTTGTACACGATGAGATTCATGGATTGTTGAGGGATCAAGCAGAAGACTTGAAAAAGAAATACAAAGCTCAGTTAATCTTTAACTGCTCTGGACTCAACGCCAAAGAATTGGCAGGAGATGAAGATGTTTACCCTCTGAGAGGTAAATAACTTCTGTATGTCCTACTAAATCATATATGTTGGGCATCCTGAGTGGGTCGATTGACAGAATTTAGTTTTTTCCTCACTCACCGATCAGCCTTTCTATTTTGTCATTACAGGCGTGATTTTAAAAGTGAGAAATGACGGAAGTTTGATGCCCAAACTCAATCACTCCATGTGCATCTCTATAATCAAGGAGTTTGATGAGTCAGATAAGGAAGGACAAAGCTTCGTGTTCATTTTACCAAGAGGTGACGACAAACTATGGTTGGGTGGAATGGTGCAACCTCATCAGTGGGACAGAGATCTGACGCTCGACTATCCACCAATCAGAAGAATGTTTGAGAAGGTAAAGGAGTTCTACCCACCCCTCCGTAACTATGGAGACGATGATGTAGAGGAAGTGTTGGTTGGCTTGCGTCCTGCTCGCCATGGTAACGTTCGTCTTGAGTGGGAGGCACCATTGATTTGTGCACAATTTGAATATATTACTCAGCATGCAGATTACGAAA